CACGTGACAAAACTCATCATCCGTATTCTGATGAAGAGAGCGCGCAGCAGAATTAGGCCAGAGATTGGACAAGAACAGTACGGGTTCTTCAAAGACACAGGAACAAGGAACGCGATATTCATGCTCAGAATGTTATCAGAAAGAGCGATACAAATGCAGAAACACGTGTACCTGTGTTTCATAGACTATACAAAAGCCGTCGACAAAGTACTGATTGAACTGCTCAGCAACACCGATATATTCTGGAAAGATACCGGAATAAAGAAAAATCTATACTTACAGCAAACAGCATGCATGCGCAAAGAGAACGAGCTCAGTGAATATACAAAAATAGAAAGTAGCGTAAGGCAAGGATGTGTCTTCTCACCGGACTTATTCAACCTATACAGCGAGGCAACCCTGAAAGAATTGGAAACCCTACTGGGATTTATCATTGGTGGCCACAATTTTAACAACATAAGATACGCATGTGACACAATACTGATAGCAGATACGGAAAAGAAATTACAAAATCTCCTTCAGAATGGAGCGACGGAGGGTTTGAAGAAGGGACTAAGCATAGACAGCACGAAGACAGGATGCATGGTCAGCAGTAAAAGGATGAGCCCGAGATGCGATTTGCAGGTCAGGAACACTAGACTCAAGCAGACGCGGTATCATAATTATCTGGGTACAGTTCTGACAGAGGACAGTAACTTCGACACCGAGATCCGTAGACATATTGGGATGGTCAAGGACGCATTCAAAAGCTGGGTGGAGTATTGAGACAAAAGGATTTCTTTGGTAACGAAGAAAAGAATATTGTTACTTGACATATGTCCGTCTTTACGGCAGCGGATGTTGTACAATTTTCTAAAAGATGAAGTAGAGCCTCGAGGTGACGGAGATGTGGTTTTACAGAAGTATGAGGTACGAGCGTGTGAGCAACGATGAGGTCTTAGAGAGGATGCAACAAAGAAGAGGTTTGTACATATCACGAAGAGACAGCTGAATTTCCTGGGACACATAATGAGGAAGAAGGACTTGGAGAATCTGATACTCATGGGTCGAATAGAGGGAAAGATAGAACGGGAAAACAAAGCATGACATACCTAGCGGCCTTAAGCAAGTGGATGAAAGAACGTGGGGCAGAGGGAAGGAAATTGTTGAGAGCTGCAAGAGATAGAGGGAGGTGGAGAGCCATGATTGCCTACGTCCTGAAAATCACGGCCCATAAAATGAAGTGAATGTTCTCAATGTCTGTTTGGTATGACCGTTTTCCTTTTTCACCCAGAAGAACGTTAGGATAACACTCGTTAAAACACAAGCTAGGTCAGTGGTATCAAGTTACGCAAGAATGTAGCCAGCAACATCAAGAGAGACTTAGCTACAACCATTACTCTTTAGAAGATAACACGACGCCTTTCACCTAAGATACGTCCACAGGCACACATTATCTGCAACCACTTATTTTTTCCTTATATTTTTCTATCTGTATATTAATATATATTTAAATTATACATGTTTTTTTTTGTGTTTCTCTCTCGATACAAAACCTGTCACGCTGTTCAGTTGAGCAGTCGGTTACTCATCACATTCCCTCCATAAACTTCGAGGTTTATTTCGGCGTAACATTGGATATATAATCACCACACTTAAAACAATTATTTATCATTAAATAGGGCATTTATATTTATAATGGAAAAAACACTGCAAATAATTTTGCTATAAAATGTATTGGAAATCAGAAGAAAAGCCTGCAATGTCGAACTGAAAACTTTATTTCGCTCACGGGCTTAGATTGTTCTAGTTCCACGTGCCATGTTTAATGGATGTCAGTTATCAGTTATCTCCTGTTAATCATCCTCTGAAAGTTCTCCACCGGCTTAACTGAGTATTGAACTCACACTCTTTGGGTCCTCTCACTGAATCTAACTAACGCCTTTTTTCACTGTGCCATGTTAAATATGGCATGTGGAACTAGAACAGTCTACCCCACTAGCGAAATAAAGAGTTCAGTTCGACATTCCAACCACCTGAAGAAGGCCGGAGCGTACAACGGCCGAAACGTTGTAATAAATATGGCGACAAAGATGAGGCAATAGTCCGAATAATGTAAATAATGTACATAATACCTGATCTCAGAAATATAGACAGATACAGGAGAAAAGGCGTTGGAAGTACTCGGGACTTAACGCAATAAGGGTAATTTATGTATGTAGTAAATCAGCTATTAATGATTTTATTATAAAAATACGCTGTCACTCAGGAAGCAGTGACTGTTAATAGTTTGGAATAACTAATAATATTATTTACAAATACAATATAATGCAAATAGTTTTATGGGTCAGTGAATTTGTCTCCGATATTACCAGGATTATGTCACACTTACGGATGTAACGATTGGTTCTTTTTTTTAGCCATTCAGCGTTATCGTCTTATTCTGTGTTCAATTAGCCAATGGTCTTACTACGAAAATGATTTGAAGATTAAGTAGAAAGATAGTCATATGATACAGAGAAAATAGGTTTGTTTTATGAATGAGGATTTTTAATATTATGGAATTAATCCAAGACTGATTCAGGGAATTTGTCGAATTTTTTCTATGTATAATTCACATTTGGTTTATAGTCGATCTAGAAATATTGAGATGTTGTTTATTTTCTCTATCTTTCTGTTGGTTGCAACTTTTTAATGCCAATGAAATGTTGTATGAAGACATGTCGTTATGTTGATATCTTAATCAATATCCGTAAAAAGCTTTTGAAACCTCTTTTGGCTTGATGTCTGAAAGTCAATGGAGTAACGGGATTGCACGTGAATATGTATAGAAATAGAAAAAAGGGGAGGTTGACATTGAATTCCACTATTTACAGCAAGTCGAGGATTAAGAACAACATATTTAAAATGAAAGTGTAAAGAAGGAATTAGAAGCAGAAAAGAAGCCGTGAAAGTGACAAGATATGTGCATTGTTTTGATTTTGCTATGGAGACTATAGAGTAAGAAGCGTTGAGGGCTGCCAAAAGGTGAAAAATTGAAGAAGGAGGAAGAGGGGGAAGAGGAAAAGAAGAAAAAAGAGGAGGAGAAGAACGAGACTATAGAGGTCTGACAAATGGAGAAAAATGGAAAAAGAAGAAGGAGGAGGAGGAGGAGGAAGAGGAGTAGGAAAAGGAAAAGGACGAGGGGAAGAAGAAGAAGAGAAAGAAGAAAGAGAAGGAGGAAGAAGCGTTGATGTCTGACAAAAGGTGAAAAATGCATGAAGAGGAAGAAGGAGGAGGAGGAGGACTATTAAGGGAAAGAAAAAAGAGGAGGATAAAAAGAAGGAGGGGGAGGAGGAAGTAATGGAGAAGAAGAAAATGAGGAGGAGAAGAATAAAAATAAGGAGGAGTAGTAGGAGGAGAAGATGGGGAGGAGGAGAGAAGAAGGAGGAGGAGGACTATTAAGGGGAAGAAAAAAGAGGAGGATAAAAAGAAGGAGGAAGTGGTGGAGAAGAAGAAAAATGAAGAGGAGAAGAAGAAAAATGAGGAGTAGTAGAAGGAGAAGATGGGGAGGAGGAGAGAAGAAAGAGGAGGGGGAGACTATAGAGTAAGATCTAACAAAAGTGAAAACGAAGAAGAATGAAGAGGAGCAGTAAAAGAAAAAAAAGAAGGAGGATAGGAGGAGAAGAAGGGGGAGGGTCTCACAAAAGGTGAAAAATGAAGAGGAAGAAGTAGTAGTAGTAGGAGGACAATGATTAATAGAAGATCGCAAGAAAAAGAAGAAGAAGAAGAAGAAGAAGCGGAAGAAGAAAGGAGAATTAGGAGAAGAAGAAGAAGAAGAAGAAGAAGAAGAAGAAGAAGAATATGAAGAAGAAGAAGAAGAAGAAGAAGAGTGTTCTATTTAGAATTGTCCTTTGACAGATTAGGAAAGCTTTAAATCAAAACATAGTTACTTTTCTAAATACTTCTTTGAGTATTTTCTCTTGTTAATCTGTTAATGCGGTTCTACATGATGATGAAAGAGGATTTGGAAAATTTGATGCACACAGGGCAAATTGAAGGCAAGAGTGAAATAACACATAGGCTAACTAGTGCACTAGAAGAAGAAGAAGAAAGCTGGAATAAAGAAGTGACGCAATCAAATTGATTCAATTGTTGTGTTTACTTTTTTTTACGGTTTTCCAACCCTTTGTCTGTTATTTAAAGGCGAAACATTTGTATAAGGAAGACAGAAAAATTGAATGCTAAAGAAAAGAAGATTAAATCGCACGATTTTCAAAAGTGAAATTTATACCATATCTCATACCTCACCTTTTCTCTTATATTTTATACGTGCCATTTTGAACCGCCTACTTTCATTCCATATTGTCTTACCTATGGTATTGTAAGAATTAATTTTTAAAAAATAAGGAAAAACCTATTTTTCTAATGTTCCCTTTCTTTTAACGTGAATTAGCCCCGTCTTTCAAAAAAGAAAATAAATAAATAAATAAAAAGTGCTTACGGCCACATCACATAGGAATACGGGTTCCCGTAACATCACCGAAATAAAGCAACGTCGATCCTGGTTAGCAACTAGATGGTGACTGCTTGGGAATGTCTAGTAATATAAGATATCCGATGTGCAGGTATTGTAATGAGTAAGGGTTCGTAATTGTTAATCGGAGATCCGAGTTCCAATTCTCGATGGCTTCGTTATATTCACTTACGTGCAAATATCATTGGGAAAGGTACGAAGCTAACTCTTCTCCCCACCTATGGGTTAATTATTGTATCAGTAAGATCCTTGTAACCCAAAGAAAATGCGTAAGAAGTATCTAGATTTCGGCATTAAATAACCCATGAAAGTTGATATGTAAACAACTTATCTCATATGTCAAACTTTCTCACGTATTTTACTCTTTTCCTATTGTGCCCCGCCCACTGTGGCGCCACATTGTCTTGCTCATAAAATTGCATTGATTAATTTAAAAAATAAGGAATGAAAACCTATTTTTCTAACAAGAATTAGCCTCGTATCTCCAAACATAACTTTTTTCTTATGGCCACCTCACGTTGAAACACCGGTTACCGTATGATCAACGAAGTTAAGCAATGTCGATTCTGGTTAGCACCTAGATGGGTGACCGCTTGGGAATACCAAGTGCTGAAAGCTTGGATGTGCAGGTGGTGCAATGGATAATGCTTCAGAATTGTTAATGGGCGAGCAAGGTTCCAATTCCAGTTGGGTTCATTATAATGAATTATGACCAAATACTCTCGTGAAAGGTATTCATCTACCTTTTCTTCTTCAGCTATGGGTTAATTAGCAATACTTGAACCACTAAAAATATTATCTAAAAAAAAAATTGCGTACAAAATATTTAGATTTCAGTATTGAATAACACTTGGAGGTTGATACGGTACTAACCAAAAGCAACGTACAAACCAACTTATCTCTTACGTTAAGCTCTCTCTTATATTTTACATGTAACCTGGTCTCAGCACCACTTCAGCTCCACATGTTCTTGCCACTAATATTACTTTGATTAATTTCAAAAAATAAGAAATTTTGAAAAAGAAAGAACTAATATGAGTAACAGATGAAGATTGATACAAAGAAGAAGAAGGCTGCATTTTTTATCATGTATTTTCTTCATCGCTCAAATTCTTTTAGCGTTTCTGTTCTAGAATAGGAATAAGAATACAAGAAGAATGTACCTCCAAGAGCAGCGCAAAGGCAACTGTCATAAACTAGGAAATATCCATTAAGACAAGAACATCTGCATGGAATTAAAGATCACGCTATTGCGTGATTGTCCTTCATAATCTTTTTGTACGCCTGCAGGTCTGGAAACAAGAGAAATATAGCGAATAATCCAAACATTAGAAATCAGATGCGACACAGACCACATCAATAAAGACGCAGTGCGAGAAAAAAAAACAAAAAAAAAACTAGATATATAGCCATTGGATGAACTCCTAACCAACGTCAAGAAGAGAAACGTTATAAATAGACAACGTTTTAGTCAGGTTATAAATGCCAACCATCTGTCCACAGCGATTCTTCATGTCTCCAAATTGCGTAAAAGAAAAGGAAGCAGACGCGGGGAAAAAAAAAATCAGTAACATCGTCACTGAGATCTTTCAGTGACTCCAAAAATGGCGTCCTGAGTTTGACGATAAACAACATCGAGCAGTAAGGCCTCTGATAGAAATGTTTTGGGGAGCGTGAAAAAATAATTGATGATATTCCCAGATCGCACTGGTTCGGATCCCAGCTCTGGGCAAATAATGCATCCAACGACTCATTTAAAACACTATGAAGCTATAACAATACATTTTTTATAGTAAACATTTCCAGCAACATATTTTAATATGAACCATAAGGAACTGATATGACGTTAAACAAAGCTAACTAAACCAATCAAACATTGTCATGCAATCGAGACATAAGAAAACAGCTGGTCTGGTGAGCAGAGACTTAACGCCCACACCTGGACATCGGTCTGAGAATGATGAGCCATCAATCAGTTAATTGCCGTGCGTGATACACGCTTAGGCGATCATGTATCTTTCGATACATGGCTGAGAAGTAGGTTGTATTTTCTTTCTGCGGTAGGCCAGTTGCTATACAAGGCAAGAATCCGGTCTGTCCTGCTATTTACCCATAGCTGAGAGAGATGAAGAGGATTCATACCTTTTTCCAAGGGTACGTCAGTGTATGTAATGGATTCGACAGGAATGCGAACTCGGCTCTCCGATTCCTCAATCCGAGTCGCTATCCATTACTCCACCATACCTCCTTAATGACGATCCATACTTTCCTATAAATCTTTTGATCATGTCTCTCCCTATGGATGAAATAAAAAAAAAAAAAAAATGGAGGACAAGGCGTCGCTGAGCAAATACCAAAATACAACGAAAAAAGCAGATGTGGACCAACCTAAAACACATCAATGGCCGAGGAGCACCGGGTGAAAGCTAAGACAGAAGACCAACTCACGACTATTTTGTCAAGAATCTCGAGATGTATAGCACTATCAGCCTCCAACTTCTGTCTAACTGGCAGGAAGTTGCGAGCCTCTCGCTACTCTATAGCTACTACCATGGAAAGTGTTGGGGACGAAGTACATTCCTTGGTTCTGCGAGGTTTAATCTTCAAGGCTAGAACACGTCATGCCATTTATATTGGAGCAAACCGGGTTTGAGTTATAATCCCGAATTTTACGATACGGAATGTCGAAATCTAGAAATTTAAAATCTCGAAAATCGAAATCACGACTGTATCAAAATCACAAAATTTAAAATCCCGAAATATCAAAATCCCGAAATTTAAATTCCTGAAAAATCAGACTCCCGAAAAATAATCTTTGGGGGAAATTAAAAAAAGAAAAGAAAAAGGAAATACCTATATTTTTAATCATTTTTTTAAAAAAATACCGCTTAAATAGTGTTTATACATTTGAAATATTCAAAATTATTTCAAAAATACAGAAGGATGTGTTGTTCATGATGACGGTCGTCTTTGAGTATAGAATCCAAAGGTTAGCAGTGAATATTTCGAAGACAGTAGGGAAGCGTTGTTCAGGTTAGCAGTGGATATCCCGGTAAAGTAGCAGTAGTTCTTCCTTCTGTTCCTCTTCGCCTGACAAGCTGGTACTGGACATTCGGATAGAGTAAACAAAATGGCCGCCTTTATACACGACGAGTTGAATGTTCTACGTCTTCTGATTGGTTAACTTTTTATTGGTGGACTATAAAGTGAGTCAAGTCATTTGGACTAGCTCACTAGTTATATATATATACAAAAAACTGCAACAGGATGGTCTTCACCAATACTCACAGGTATCACTCGCTGAAATCAATTTTATCAAATGGTCCTAGAAATCGGCTGTATACAGATAACAATGTAAACATTTTCTGATGGGTTTGACGCCATTCATGACAATTGCGTGAAAGTCTCGATATGACGAGACCTGACTCGAGACGTCAAGTTAATGTTATATGCTTCTCACAATTTGCCTTGTTTGACGAAACTATCTCTAGCACAGGCTCTTCTATGTTAAATCTTCTTATCTCTTATAAATTTGTTATAACAGAGCCATTCAGAAACGTATTTAAAGTGTTTGTTACTAATTCTACATCCTGCAATATTATGATTAATTAACGACTTAGGGTGAACCTTTCCCAGATAGAAACTATGAACTTGAATTTGAATAAAAATAATGATGGCACATTGAATCTATCATAAAACTGAGAATACATAATTAATAAACTCTAAACACTTCAAATACCTCGATGTATAAATCGGTTGCAATTGGTTATATTAGCTGTAGTTCAGTCCACCACAAGAATCTGCTGAACCTAAATTCTATCAGACAATTTTTCCGTCCTCTGTTAAAACACTTCCAAGGCAGAACAATTTATCACTTGCTAGATTTTTGCATCTATAAATATATTTAATCATGTTAGCTTTATTCTTAGTTAATCAACTTAATATCATGACAAAAAAAGAAATAATTTATATTGACTTGACATTGGTAGATTTTCCAATATTTAATCGATTAGTCTATTATCTTATAGACATTGGTAATTAACTCATTTGATTATAAAAGCTGAAAAAAATCGTAATAAATAAATAAAAAGCTATTATTTTTCTCAGACTTCATAATGATTCAAAACAGACTGATTGACCATTACTCTGTTCGCAATAAAACCACAAGAAAAATATTATCGTAAAACTTAATCAATTTCAGGATCAGTGAATAGTAATATTGTCATTGAGATAATGAATAAAAGTAAATAAATAAATAAATAAATAATAATAATAATAATAATAATAATAATAATAATAATAATAATAATAATGCATGGCCAATATCCAGAAGCAAATAAACCCAATGTTGATAAAGTTAATACTCATCGATGGTTACGAGCATCTGGATTAAAGTCTGAAACTGAAGGTTTATTCTTGCAGCGCAAGACCAGAGTCTTTTCACTAGGAATTTTCAGGCAAATATCATACATAATAATGTGGATCCAAAATGCAGGTTCTGTGACAAATACCAAGAAACAATAGACCATCTAATCTCAGGATGTTCTATACTTGCCCCAAATGAATATAAAAATCGTCACGATAGAGTGGGGCAATACTTACACTGGACAATGTGCAAACACTTTGAAAAAATGTAAGCAAACACTAGTATGAACATCGGCCAGCGCCGGTTACAGAAATAGAAGATGTCACCATTCTATGGGATTATACCATCCCACAGACAGAAAAATTGAAGCAAATAGGCCGGACATTATTGTCAAAAACCAGAAAGAAAAAAACTTGCCTACTAATTGATATGGCTTTGTCCAGCGGATTGTAACATAGCAACCAAGGAATTTGAAAAAACTATCAAAATACAAAGACCTGGAAATTGAAATAGAAAAAAATGTGGAAATTGAAAACAAGAATAATACCAGTGGTAATACAAAATTTTGGAATTATAAAAAATGGAACAAAACAACACATTGAAAGAATCCCTGGAAACCCCAGCTTAAGAGACATACAGAAAACCATAACTTATTAAGTACAGCACACACACACTAAGGAGAACTTTGTCTATGTAACGCTAGCAACTTCATCGAGATAAGAGATGTTTCAGAGATAAAAAAAAAAAAAAAAAAAAAAAAAAATTAACATGAAATGTGTAATTATAATAAACACACCACGACCTGCCTTAGGTCTTTTGTTAGACTTGGTAAAGGTAGTGTGTCCATAGCAGAAATCGAATGATGATGATAATAATAATAATAATAATGACAGTCCCTGCAGAACTGCAATGTATCTTTGTAGATATTCAATAAATTATCACAATACAAGGACCTTCAAATAGAAATCTCAAAAATGTGGCATATGGGAACATCAACAATACCTGTTGTAGTTGGAGCCATTAGATTGGTTGGAAAAAGATTCCAGTAGACTAATTGAAGCGATTCCTGGAAGTCCATGCCTCACAGACATACAAAAAATTGTTCTGACAAGTACAGCCCACACTTTACGAAGGGCTTTATCTATGTAATTTTTTTTTTTTTTTTTTTTTTGTCAGTGGAAAGTGTCATGATACCATTTCTAACCTTAGGTCACTAGGCGGGCCCGGGAAAGAAATGTATAGACGCCAG